GATAAAAGTATTAGAATTACAACCGCTAATTTTTTTTAATTTTTAAATCACCATACTTTTATTTAAAATGTATTCTTTTCTCTCACTTCGTCCGCCATTACTAGCATAAAAAAATCTCCAGTCGGGCCGCAAAGCATTATGGGATATGCTGGGCCGGGAAGGATCCATCACACCTGTCCTTCGATACGGGCCAAAGGAAGGACATATTTGTCGGACGCATCGGAGGAGTCTTCGGTTTTGGACGTCCTTCGTCGCGGCGCTGTGACGTATGCGGCCGACAAATTCGACCTTCGTAGGACCCGTCCTGCCGTTTTGGACACAGCCCACGTCTGCTGCGATCCATGAACTGAGACACTTCCTGTATTGATGGTTGAGACTTTAAAGTAAACCTGCAGTCTTCCATACAGCAGACGGTGTTTGAATCTTTGTAGAACGAGCTGACAAATATTACAGAGTTAACTGTTTGACTCGTTACTCTGATTGACACAGAAGTCAGGCTGAACTTGTAGTTTAGAAGCCCAAACATCACGTGTTTACTTCAAATTTTAAAATAATAGTAATAAAAAGTCTGTTTTTGTCAGAGTGGCCCTGAAAATGATGCTGTAGTTTCATGTTCTTCATCAAAAATACCCAGAAAAGAAACCATTTGTAAATTCTTATCAGAGGTTTTTTTCTGAGACAGAACGGATATGAGCAGACGGGATGAGCTGAGTCAGATACATTTATTTAATCCTACAGCTCGTTATTCCCAACATTTAAGCTTTTTTAAGCCTAACATGATTAATTTGAGACGTTGGCTGTGTTGCTATGCCGTCTATTGATTTCAAGAAGTAATTTCAACGTCATGGAGGAGAACAAATCAATAAAAAGTGTAGTTATCAAATCATCTTGCGTTTTTTTTTTTTTGTGATAGTTTTTTCTTTCTCTCTAAAAGCTTCTGTCTTCTGTGAGTTTCTCTCTCCAGTTGTTTCCTTCCTGCACCATTTCATTTCCTACTCTCTGCTCTGTCTCACCTGGTCATGTTTTCCTGACCTTTTCCTTGTGCTGCTCTTATTTCCTGCCCCCTCCTCTCAGGTTATCATCAGGCACTCTGTCAAAACAAATAATCTGCTACAACCTGGCCAGTTCCCGAGCCAGAACGGGAGATGCAATAACAACAGTTTCATCCCGGGTCTATTCTTGGAGAGTAAACTGAGCCGAGAAGGGCACTGTGCTCTCCGTTTAAGCCTCTTTAACTTTAGAGGAGTACCGAGAAATCAATTGTTTTGAATAATTGAAGAAGAGGCGCAGTGTTGTAGAGGGATACTATGTGGAAAAGAAAAACGCAGGTCAGAACTCCAAATCAAAATCTAGAAAATAAGACTTTAATTTAGCTTTTTGGTTGTAAATGCAACAGGGCGGCTTGCACCGAGCCACAGGGAGTTTACAGTGAATTATTTTTGAACCACTGAACATTTGGCTCAGGTTTTCTGTAACTTTATAAAAAGGTATAAACAGAGTTTCGTCTGGATGGTCTCTGCAACAAACATTTAAAAAATATCAAATGCTGCAAAGTGTTTTTTACAGAGACTCAATGTGCCTGAATTCAGAAAGCTGGCAGTTCCATAAAGTGGGAGCTGCGTCGGAGAAAACCTGATCTAAGACCACATCGATAGGTCTGTGAAGCGTTTATAAGCCAGATAATCAAAGATTTTAAAGATAAGCTGTAAGATTTTTAAATCGATACAGAAAGTAACAGGAAGTCAGTGTCAAGGGGAGCAGGAGGCCATGTTTTTATGCTTTTTAGTCCTGAAGCAATGAAGGACTCTGAGGGCTTCAAGGACTGTTGGTCCCAGCAGAGCAGAGATTCTTAACCCATGAGCGCCACCTTGAGGGCCTCAAAATAACAACAGTTTTTATCTGAGGGCCGCAGAGGGCCGTGGGACCGCATTGATTTTGAATGAGGTGCAATACACTTTCTCACCACTAGTAGCYGTAGTGCACCACTCAGATGTTTAACAACTTTTTAATATGTAGAAGAACCTTAGAAACCTGCTGAGAATTGAAACTTATTTTTAATTAAACGTAGAAGCAAAAATGAAAGTAACTCATCAAAAAACACCAACGTTTGTCACTAATATGAAGAACAGCTTCTGTTTTTACCATGTAATATTTTAAATGTTCAAAACATTATAAAATAAAGTTGCTGATATAACTATAT